ACACACACACACACACACACACACACACACACACACACACACACACACACACAAGGGCAGGATGCGCAACCCACTCCATTTTACTTGTGGCCGTAGTAATACGGCCCGTAGTGCGGTGCGGTGTAAGCCTGGTTGCTATACACCAGCGTTCCCCTGCTGTCATACACCGGCTGTCCTCTCTTATCGTAGTAGATCGGAGGCGGCATGGTGGCGCCGCCCTGGCGGGGGAGACTCTTCTCATAGGGGGCAGCATAGGCGGGAGCGGTGTAGCGAGTCACTGCTACCATTTGCTTCTCCTTCTTCCGCTTGGCTCCCTTCATCGCACAGCCGGCGAAGTAGAAGAAGAAGACGGAGAGGAGGACGAGGAAGATGCCGACCCACGTGACGATGTAAGACCAAGCGTACGTCTGCGTCGTGTTCTCACGCAACAACTGCGGAGATAGCAGCGAGGGGTTGTTAGAGGTACATAATCAATAAATCAATAAATAATCTTTCTAACACATGCGGAGATAGCAGCGGGTGCATGGGAGGGGGGCTGTTAAAAGTATATATATATATATATATATATATATATAATATATATATACAAATAAATAATATATAATATAATAATTATATATANCATATATATATATATATATATATATATATATATATATATATTTACATTTATATAATTATTTTCATCTATATCTTCATGGGTGTCTAGGTGTTTTTTACTTCTAATTATTATATATGTTTCCCTCGTTGATCGCGATCCTATAACTATGATATACGTATCTATGATAGATTCACTACGTGGTCAAACAATGAATTTGTTCATCATTATCGTTCCCTTCATTATCGTTATGCTACATGAATATTCAGCAACATTGCTGTAATTGAACCACGAAATGATCGATCGACTAATTGATTGATTGACTAATTGATTGATTGATCGATCGACCAACTGATTGATTGACTGATTGATCGATTGATTGATTGATTGATCGATCGATCCATCGATCAACTGATTGATTGATTGGTTGATTGATCAATTGATCGATAGATTGATTGATTGATATAATCGCACACTTACGTTGCTCCACACCCTCTTGTATCCGAACGGAGGCTGCCAGATGTCTTTATTCTCGTCCTCCTCCATCAGTAGGTAACCATGGAAGACACCGATAGCTGCCACGCAGAAGGAGGCTGTGCCCGAGGGGGGCGGGAGAGAACAGGGTATTAACACGCTGTTAGATACACGGGATCTTTATACAAGGTATAACCACTCAGATTAATACCCGGTATGCATGTTACAGGGTATTACAACGTTGATAAATGCACGGTATGTGTGTTACAGGGTATTACAACGTTGATAGATGCACGGTATGTGTGTTACAGGGTATTACAACGTTGATAGATGCACGGTATGTGTGTTACAGCGTATCACAACGTTGATAGATGCACGGTATGTGTGTTACAGGGTATTACAACGTTGATAGATGTACGGTATGTGTGTTATAGGGTATTACAACGTTGATAGATGCACGGTATGTGAGTTACAGGGTATTAC